GCCGTTGTCGTCAAAGGGTTAATAAGGGCATTTTCTATCGCAGTTCACTGCATTTACGACACCCACGCACCCGTGGACCGAAAACGACCCCTCGTTTGCCTTTACACGAACGGATGGTCAACCCTCGTTTCGGTTTGATGTGAAAGACGTGGCGAGCTTCGGCTTGCTGGTGCGCACTATACTCTCCAAGCGGACAAGACCGGAACAGCCACCATATAAAACGCGGCATAAGCTTTGAACATGGCGATCAGCAAACATTCGTCTAAAAACACCGTATCACGAAGCAGTGAGAAAAGGATCAAATAAACATTCAGATAAAGATGATAAAATTTATTTTGCAATTTCACTAGTTGGGGTGTCTCATTTATGCAGAAAGCTGCATGAGTATTCCTTCGGCTTCTGACTCTTCTTATCACACATGGACCTCAAGTAGTGCACCGAAGGTGTCTCAGGTACGTTAGTGAAACTCTGGCGATAGCGAATGATGCCTTGAAGCGCTAGTGTGGTTAAGGGGAGATCCCTATATGACATTTAACCCTTTGAGTACACTGGTCACATGCCTACCAGTAGTCATTGGTTCTAACACAATTTTTTATAGCGTCAGGCCCAGATTGCTCGCCCGACTGATTAACCACCCGTCACAACAATCATGTCTAAAAGACGTGGAAATGTCAGTGATGATGCTACCTTGTCACACGGAGCTGGCGCACAGAACTTCTCCCGAGTTCTGTGGTCAGTATGCGAGGGCTACCGAGGAGTGAACGGCCTCGGCCAAAGAAGCTAGTTCGAATTGGGACTCTGAACGTAGGATCGCTAACTGGGAAGTCCCGAGAGGTTGCTGAATTGATGACGCGCAGGAATATCCAAGTCATATGCCATCAGGAGACACAGAGGAAGGGAGCCAAGGCCAGAGGAAATTGGGGAAAACGTCAAACTCTTCTACAATGAAGCGTAATAAGGGCTTCGGCGACAGGTAAACAAGTCGCAGGGGGGACTGAGGACATGCATATTCTGGGGGAAACGAGGCAGTGACGGAATCATATGGCAGTGCATATAGACCTAAAGTGGTCGATGTCCGGACTGTCTGTGTGCACACTAGCCGGTCATTCCAAAAGTGAGAAAGAAGAGTTTTATCTTAGCCGGCGAGAAGCCAATCAGATCTACTCGGGAAAACGCGGACTAATCAAATAGTGTTAGAAGTGATCATGAATCGTTAATGTTGCTCTTGAAATGGCGCATCGAGGTGGAGGAATCGGAACAAAGAATGCTGAGAGACAGAGGATTCAGGGCTTGGTCACAGCCCATGTACGATCTCCTGCACGTTCTACGCGAAAAAGTGGATCTTGAAGGTAACCTACAGCTGCGGAGGGAGCCAAACGCGAAAATCGACCATGCGCTAGCCCTCTCCGGCAAAGAACGGACTAGGCAGCAGAGATCTGTCTCAGACAATGCCATAGACTCTCGAAACAAAGGTAAAATTGGAGCGAAAAACTCGGTGGTGAAGTTGCATCAAGCAGGGAACGACGTCAGATGAAGGATGATGGAAGTTGGTCTTCCAGATCATGACGGGCCTAGCACAGTGGACCTGGAGCAATGCCGCTGAGGTCAGGTTACGTTAAGATGTATTGCCAAACGTGAGGTGGAATCAAGGAAGAAAGGCGATGGATTCTGAATGAGGAGAGCGATCGCCAAACAGAAACGAAGCCTACACTCTGGTACAAAGACCCGACCGGTGGAGAGACCTCGATGCCTACAGAACCTACAAAAAACTTACCAAAGCTGTCGTCGCAGAGGCGAAGAATATGGAGATGGACGCCTTGTACGAAAAACTGGAGAGCAGAAATGCAGAAAAGTCAGGCTGGCGAAGGTCCGGCATAAGCCTACGCAAGATATCAGGGTGAGGAGAGTGAAAGCATTAGCGGGGGTGAAGAGGCTAGGCGAAGTCTAGTGGAGAGTGGGAAGTGTACTTCAGGAGACTCTGAACGAAGAATTCCCTCACATAAATAACCCACAAGTGGAGGCGACGGTCATTCCCATCACACTGTGGACTGAAGACGACGTTAGGCGGGAAATACAGACGATGAAAGTCGTGAAGGCGATAGGTATGGGATGCCAATAGAGGTATGGAAGGTTCTTGGAGAATACGGCATAAGGTGGCTCACACCGCTGACTAAGGCAACACTGAAAAGAAAGATGTCAGATGCAGAACAAGCACTATCGTCATGATCTTCAAAGAAAAAGGCGAGGCGATGGACTGCCCCATCCACGATCAAATTGACGGCTCATATCATGAGTTATACGAACGACTGGTCGACTCGAAGCCAGGGAGCCGATCGCGATCTCCCAGGAATAGTCGGGTGCTCCCCGAATGGTCAACAATGGATGCCAGCTTCAGCACAAGTCAAAAGATGGAGAAGTGTCGAGAAAAAAGCCGAACGTGCTACCTACCCTTCCTCATCTCGGTACCTGTGGACCCTGACCTGGCAGCTGACCATAGCGCGACCACGAGATGAAGTCTAGCATCAACGCTGCTTGAATGAATGGAGGGAGTCCACTGGAATACTCCACAACCAAAGGTGCTCCAGAACGCTCAAAGGATTGTGCATCGGATTGTGGTAAGGCCTACAATACTATATGGCAGCGAGTAGTGGACGAGAATCACGAAGGACAGCGCTAAGATGAGGTTGCTGGAATGGGCCTGCGACTCGAGAGGTAAAAACGAGAAAGTCAAGTGAGCTCTGCAGGCTGCTCCCTGTCCAGCTGAAGGTGCGGGAACAGCGTCTGCGATGGTATGGGCACGTGCTAAGGAGGCCACAGGACCATCCGATAAGAACAGCGATGGACTTCGAAGTGCAAGGCAAGCGACCGCGAGGAGCCCCAAAGAAGAGGTGGAGGGACGTCATCAAGAAGCTTGCTGAAATCAGGGCCATGGCAGAATATGCCTTAAACACGACCAAGTGGCGTCACCTTACAAGGTTTGCTGACCCTGTGAGTTTGCGGGATTATGGCGAAGGAGAGAAAGAAGAACGTGCTCTCATCCAAAGTGTGTATGTCATTTCACTAGAAATCTGTTACCCACACCACGTATTGAAATTTGAGTTAGAAGCCATTGAAGCCGGCTTGAGTACTGGCCAAAAAATTAAAACAACATATGTTTTTGCTCGCTACCTTATATCCACTGCGCCTTCTCTAATTGACACGGAGAATATAATACGGTCATAGCACAGCGAAGAAGCGCGTGTCAAACATCCAACACTTGCAGGATGAGGCTAAACCACAGGAAGCCGCAAACCAAAAGCCGACACGACTAGAACGAGCAAAAGCAGCGATCGAAGTGATGGAGGTGAGATTGTCATCACGTTCCTATATGATAAGCTTGAAAACTGGACCATCGACGAGAAGCTACATTATATCAAAACTCGATTACAGAGGGGTGGGAAAGGTCGAGAAAAGGGGGAAGGTGAGGGGAATCCAAGAAAGTCAAAGGAATCCTCAAAGAAAACTACAGTGCACCCTTTCCTTAGCCTATGCTCAGCGTTGACGATTCAAACGACTCGGGACTAGGGAGTTAGCCGACTCCACGATTGGGCGAATAGGCAAGTAGGCGAGTCGGAATATTTCGTATCGTCTTGGTTTGCTCTACCCAGTGAGCGATCGCCAAATCGCTTACTCAGCTACATATGCCTAAACGAAACGTACATTTTCATGCCGCGTGCTTGCCTACCGTACCTCTGGACAAGATCTCAATCCTCTCATTAACCACTTATCAGGAAAAATTGCCCATGCAGCCTTAATGGTATGTCACAACTATACTCACCTAGTCAGGTATGAATGATAGGAATGAAAGTTCTGGTCACAGTTGGCTTGGGAAGTAGAGCCAAATCTGCCCTTACCTGTCAAAAGTGAATGAAATCTATTTGCGCTAGTAAATTTCAAGTCTCTGAGCATAAGCGAAAATCAAGCAGGGGAGGAGCAAATTTTTATTTGGTAGCAGAAGCGTTGCCCATTTATGAACACGTACATGGGGCGCAAAGTGATTCTATTCAGGGGTCAAATCCTGAACTGAGTGTTGCCCAGACCAGCGAAGCCTTCCTTCCTTCCGACGTCCGTTGGTCGGTTGAGTGGCAGCAGACTCCATTGAGAGGATGAACACTTGTACTTGGCTGGCCTCCGCTGGTCACTACAAGGGTGATCGCATTCAACTGCCACTATAATCAGATGGTGAGATGAAATTCTGATCGCTACCACTAGAGGTAGATCGATGCCGAATGCTTTATCTTTCTCCATTTAATAACGGCGCCTTCTGCTTCTTGACCTCAATGTTTTCGAGCTAGAATAAGAGCTACCTTCTAGTTAGGCAAAGATGTGTTAACTCCAATGGCTCCATCACTGACAATGAGCTACACGCCAAGCCGCCAATTTGTGTTGCTTATCCTAAACACACATTCCATTGATGCCCTTGTACATTCATATATGTATTGATTCCAAAGATGAAAATAAAGAATCCGACATCGTTCTAAATCTTCTTGAGTGATGACAAACACCCGACTTTTTCAGTATCAAATGGCGCTTTTTATGTCATTTGACCTATGCAATGCCTTGTGGAACCAGCTCATTAATAATGCATTACATCATCATCCTGGGTAGCAAGGTTGGAACCCTGGAGAAAGAAGGGTTTGACTGGTCTGGATGAGATTCTGTTTAGGATTCAACCGCTCTATGCGGTGCCTTCTGTCGCTACGCTACTACCAGTACCTTGTGCTACCTTTCCTTGCTCATAATCGATATCCATTTGACATGTACGTGTATGCGACAACCTGGAAATTGAAAGCATGTTCAGAGGACAATCTACCTTTGAGTTTCCTGTTTGAAAGTGTACATTTGAAAAAAATAGACGTAATCTGAATCAGTACTTTAGCAAAAAAGACCATGGAAGAAACGGTGTTGAGAAACAAGGATTTCTTTCTCATGAGTGGGTCGAGAGTGGAATGAAACTACAGGCCTCTGTTTTTGGGGAAGCATAAGTTTCAAAACTAGAAATGAATAGTGGTACTAGAAAACTGAAAATATAGACCACTCGCAATAATCTTATGCAATTTAGAAGCGTCTGAGTGAAAACAAAAAGGTGCGGGAGCGTCTGAAGAATTTGGACGCAAAATTGGACCAGGTCAACAGGGAAATGGAAAACGCATACGTGAAGGTAACAAACAGCCAGCACTGTACCAAGCTCCTGCTGAAAACCACAATTACATCGCACTGGTACCTGAGATCTTTAGCATTCTGGGCTTCCTTATTTGAAGCTTTTTTGTAACGATCTTTGACCTGACCTGTAGCCCATATCTCGCCTTTAGAGTAGGCGCGTCTGCAGATCTGTTATGTTTTGACTGGACGTGGCCAAGAAAAATAATAACTGGGCAATACGCATTAACAGCGACATTACCTCGCTGCAGTGTGCTTACCTCTTCACACAGAAGCTTCGTGTAGTTAAATAGTACCGAAAACAGAACTCAGAAAACAGCCTTGCGACATCTATCCTATGGTTTGCTCATCGAGAAATCTTTAAACACGCCCACTCAGACGCCGGAATATGACGTGTATTTCGTCACCTCGAGGCACATTCTACCTAGGTACAAGGGTAAACGCCTAGCCCGATTAAGGCAGAGCGGCATGGAAGTACACAGGATGCGCTGACTTCGCCACTCGAAAATATCAGGCAGATGCACTAATGCTTGAAGGCGGATTTTACTATGAAAAAGCAGTTCATTAGAAATAAGGGTAGAGGTGGTCAGTGGTGCAGTAATGACGAAAAAACTACGGGAAACGGCCCAGAACCCGAGAAAAGGGTTCCTACTTTGCCCATTGATTCCTGCATTGCAGTTCTCGAAGGTACTGCCCTCCTCAACACAATCGCTCTCTCTGAGAAATGGCTAGAGGGCCAGACGAGAGTTAGGCGTACCGCGCCGGTAGCGCAACGATAGCGCCGCAGGGAGGGCCATGCTAGATCGCTGAGAGCACATCATTCGCTGCTAATTGTGGTCGGTTGGTGTCCTACGCACCCTTAAGTCTTCCGCCTGTCTTTCCACTCTGGTAAATTCCCCTTCTTCGACCTTTGACTTAATCGCTGAATCCTACTTTAGGGATGGACAAGGGGCTCCATCGAGCACGTGGAATTTTCAAGAAGTCGTCGTGGGCACGGGGCCTGATTCCATGCTCTCGTCTCCAATTCCTTTCCCATCCCCCCCCCCCCCAATGCCTCGTATCCCTGATCCGCTGCCTGTCATAATTAGTCCTCCACAGCATAAAAAAGTGCCCTGTCTTCAGTGTTGTTGCTGGTTTCTCTCTCTATTTTTTTAATACGTATGGCTCCCCTTCGTACCATACTCATTTTCCAACAAAAGAACATACCAACTTCGAGCTCATGGCTGTGCTTGTGATGGAACATATTTTTCTGTTGTCACAAGATACACCAAAAGTCAGCAGCAGTTGCGATGGGTCAGTTGAAGTTTCGAGAAGAAAGCAAAAAAGGCGGATTCGAATAGTTTGCTCGTCCTCTCTGGGCAGAAACAAAGCAGCGTTCACTCAGCCAGTGACGATTCCATTCCACCGAAACAATGATTCTCTTTGGAGTGAATTAAGGACTTAAATTCACCGACAGTGCCACCCGAAGTTCTCTCCCCATTTTTCCGTAAATGATTGATTCGTGTATGAATAAATGACGATCCATGTATGAGCTTTTCAGGGCTGCCAGGTTGAAAACGTTTGTAGTTAGGTAGCTTCACTGCAGCTAATCCTAAACCTAACCGCGCCGTAATTCAGATAAAGGACCAACTCACAAGGGCTGAGCTTGGCCATCAACGTCATCATAAAAATTGTACGGCGAACACTTGTTCTAGTGTGTCACCTAATCACACAGTTTCGTCATGGGAGAATAGCGTTTGCTTCGACAGGTACGTCACTGCCCATTGAAAACTATGTGGTAAATTCTGACTTCTTTTTGTTTGTTAACTGCTGTTTTTGGCCGCAGTTCGCCTTGGGAATGTTTCACAAGGATGCTGGGTTGTGGACAAAAAGTCCGCGCCGGATGGACTTGAACTGCACTGTAGAAACCGTAGGGAAATAGTTCAAAGCAAAGCAAACTAGAAATTGAAGCACACTTGCCCGGTAAGCAAGAGGTGCGGGTTCGAGTCCCTTCTGGGGCAAAAGTTTTGTCCACACCCAGCATTCTTGTAAAACATTCTGTAGTTGGCATTCTTTGTTTAGGCCCTCGTACCAGCCCGTGGGAAAACCAAAAGGTGGCGTGGCTTCAATAGAGCAAAGATTGACCGAAATGGAACGCGCTTTGAAACGACTTGACAACATCGAGAGTTGTCTGGCTAAGTAAGTGAAAGCAACGGTCCCAAAAGGTTTTTTCTTTCGATGATGATGGGGTGGAAAGGTGCATAAGCCCTAGCCAAGAACATCTGAAGAGATTCTGAGCAAAAAACTCACCTCTGAAAGCCGAAAGAAACTAGTCGAGCGTTACCGAAGTAGGGGAACTTACAAACCAGTGAGCGCATGCATTGTCGGCCACCGACTGTGCTTACTGACGAATTCGGTACGCATCGACCGTATGATGGGTGTCCTGGGACAGGGCGATCGACATTCATTCAATGCTGTGCGAGTACGACCGGCTAAGCATGCACCCAACGAATTGTGAGTCCCTCCTACTTCAATAGCGTTCGACTTCCTTGTACTTTGTTTTTCCAGTAACTCTTCGGATGTTCTTAACTAGGACTAGTACATCTTGCCACCCCATTATTATAGAAGGTAAAAACAACTGGGATTGTTGTTTTAATAGTGATTTTTACCAAAGAAAATGAAACCGTCATGCATTCTTCAGACTTTCGGTACAACTGAGCAATCCGTCGGTCAGAAGCTCGTCCACTATCCCATGCAATACGTCCAATAGAAATCTCTACGGTTGTCATGAAATTAACGAAATTTTCTCACAGGTGAATGAATTAGGATCACTCGAATAAGATCTAACAATAAGGGCAATTTAGACGCAAGCAGAACTGCAACGAGCAAGGACTGCCATCTCACGGATGCTCGCCATGCCGGCTGTGTATTCGATGCGAACGAACGCTGAGGGTATAAGGGATCGCAGTGAGCTCGACACACTCGGAAAACTCATCGATCGCTTTTTAGTGAAACTTAAAAATTCAGTGAGTTGATGGTATCAAATATCACCTATGGGATTGTGGGAATGTACATGTATCATTGGCATGATAATCACGTCATTATATGAACCAG